ACAAATCAAGTGGTGTTAGTTTATTAGGCCAAATTTAGCCATTGTGTCAATAATTAGTTTTTGCTAACTAATTACAATCAAGAATGAACATAATGTTTATTCATTAAGTTTTATACCACATAAGGTACTTAGAGAACAAGTTACATTGTAATCATAAGTGGATACTACTCACATTAAGAGGAACTATCTCTATGATTCATGTTTTTTGTTTCATTGAGTTAATACTTAGCTTGCACCGTACCAAGTGGGATAATGTAATATTTTTCATTATAATTAATGAAACTATTAAGTGGGGCAAATTTAATAGATCATTTATGACCATTATGTTGTGGTTTGAAACGGATGTAATAGTTTCCGTTACAAAGCCTATATTTGTTATATGAAACATTGATCATCAACTTAGTAACACCCACTATTATATTTATTCAACAACCATGAATTACATAGAATAAGTTGAGGATGGAGGAACGAAAATCCTCAATATCCATGAAACCAACTTAGATATATATTTTTGTGAGAGTACTATTGTAGCTAATGTAAAATTATTTCAGATGTTTGAGGTTTGTAGGACACATACAAATGAAGTCATTTGGGTCACAAGTGCAATGTTTCGATTGGTCACAATCCTTGTCTGTCATGCATCCGAGATTATTCGCGTGTGATTTAGTAGGACAGACGCAGTCGTGTAGTTTTGGGTGACAGGAACACAAGTGATAACAATCTGCATCGGTTCTGCACCCAGCATTGCCATCAACCATCGTGGATGATGTGCCTGCAAAAACTTTAATCTTTAGTTTTTCATCTCTCAACAATGACTTGCATATAATTTGATTATATTTTTTTGAGTTAATACCATCTAGGATCTTCCGAGTATAATAATTTTGCCACGTTTAGTCTTAAACATTCAAATTATCACCCATGGTCCTTCAACTTTCAAATTATTACCATCCGTAGTCCAAGATAACACCCATGGTCCTTCAATTTTCAAAATTTAACCAGCCGCGATCCTCTTGAAAGGACCATGGGTGGTTAAAATTTTATAGTTGAAGTACCATGGGTGATTAACTTGGACTACGATGGTAACAATTTGAAAGTCGAATGACCATGGGTGGTAATTTGAAAATTAAGGACTAAACGTGGCAAAACCACTATACTCGGAGGATTCTAGATGGTATTAACTCTTATTTTTTAAAACATGAAGGACCATTGGAAGTCATTTAAAATTCGGGGGACCACAACTGGTAAACCCCTAATACTCGGAGGATCAATGAGGGTATTAACTCAGGCATTTTCATTTCAATGAAAATACCAACCAAACACGATTAACACCATAGTTTTTCAAAAAAATAATATTACAAATTGTTTTAAACACCAAAAATATTGGTATGGTATTTATAAAATTTTGTTAAAGAAAATAATTGAAAATAAATATTGATTTAACAAATAAATTAAATGTACAATAATTTAAACTCCAATGGGGAGGATAGTATTCTGAAGAAAGAAAAAAGGATTGGACTTACAGAATGCAATTAGGGAAAGAAGGAGAGCACACCACAAAATTTTGAATGCCATTTCGAAGGAAGGATTTTTTTTTTGGACGCTTAGAAACTGAATTACGTTTAATTAGAGATCAGATGGAATGAGATTATTGGACACTTTTTCCCTATTTATAGCACTAAACTGCCTACAAGATTAACATCCCCAATTGGTATTTTTTTGAAAAATTCCCCAATTGGTATATTTGGTGAGCAATGATTCATTTTATACAAAATAAATTTTTTTCCAAAACTATGCTTACCTTATTGGCTTATTATATTAATTAGCATTGGATTATGTTATCCACCAAAAAAAAAAAAACATTGGATTATGTTGCTTTTAGAGTTTCTGGACCCAAGGAGGTCCAACACAATCTGTTAGATTGGTGGATTCACCGATAGATAATGTGATAGAAAGAACTAAGAAGATAAATTGCTATGTACTTTTACTATAATTGCTTAAAGTCTTTTGAAACTTTCCGGTGACTGTTCCGGCTGATTAGCGACCCCTTCTACATTCTCAAAGGGGACATATTTATATTGGACACCCTTTACTAAATTAAATACAGGTTTAAATATGTAGTAAGGAAGGGTATCAAGGCTAAAGGCCGTTGGGTCGCCGTTACTGGCTCTCCAACGGCTGGATTTGACCTAAATTAATGTCTGGCTTTAAATGGCAACGGTCATCCACTGGGTTGAGTCCTGCCAAGGCCGACTTCTAGTGGTGCCGACTTCTGGGACTCGGCACCCCACTCGTCCGGGCTCTTTACAAGGCCTGCACAGGGCCCTTAACGTCGATTTATCCTTTTGGGCTTATCGTGGCAAACCCATTTTCTTGGTCCATCCTTTCTTCTTGGGCCTCAAACCCATTGGGTCCATATCCCATCAACTAGTCCCTCACTTTCTAGTACTGAGCGCACTTGCGCTAGTGCTGGAAAGTACCTGGTTTATTGTTCTAAATACTCAAAAGGAGAGATTAATTAAACGAAAAAAACTTAACTTTATTTTTAAAAAAGTTAGAAAATAATTTAAAAAGTTATTTATTTGTAATCTTTGATACTCAACTTTGAATGCAATGTATATATATAGCCCTACTATTTTTTTTTTTTTTTTGAAAACTAGCCCTACTAATTAATTGACCAGTGTTTATATTAAATTTTATATTGTTGACTAAATGTTTTGTAACTTCTTTTAGTAACATTATGAGAAAAATAAAAAAGGATAAGGATAAATGTTGAAAGATTTTATAATCGTATATATGTATGTATGGAGTTAATTACCAAAATGGTCCCTTGACTATAGCGAAATTATCAATTTGGTCCTTGATTATTTTTTTTTAACCAATTAAGTCCCTCAACTTTAAATTTTTTAACCAATTTGGTCCTCCGTTTGTTTGACCGTTAGTCAACCCTTAACTTGGGACTAAATTGGTAATTTCGATATAGTCAAGGGACCATTTTGGTAATTAACTTTAGGGGTGGGCAATTCGATTTAGTTTTCTCGAATTGAACCGTACCAAACTAGTTTGGTTCAGTAATATACCGAACAACCGAACGGTATTGGATTCTTGTATACCGAACGGTTCGATAAAAAACCAATCCGAACTGATCCGAATTGTTCGGTAAAAAATTAAACTGAACCGAATACCGTTTGATTTTTTTTTAAATATAATAATAATAATAATAAATAAATAAATAAATAAATAAATAAATAAATAAATAAATAAATAAAAAGTAAATCCAAGTCCCTTGCTGCTTGCTCTGCCGTTCAGCTCATATTCTCACGAGTATCTCTCGTAAATGTTTTATTTGATTTCTTTATGGTTTGTTATCAAAAGTTCTATATTTTGTGTTATGGTGTTTACATAGTCCATATCCAAAGTCTAATATATATATATATATATATATATATATATATATATATATATATATATATATATATATATATATATAACAAAATAGCAATTCAAAGTTCAAACGGTATTTGGTTCGGTTCAGTTTTTACCGAACAATTCAGTTCGGTTCGAGTTTTTACCGAACCGTTTGGTATACAAGAATCTATTACCGTTCGGTTGTTCGGTATATTACCGAATCTAACTAGTTTGGTACGGTTATGTTCGAGAAAACTTAACCGAATTGCTCACCCTTAAAGTTAATTACCAAAATGTTCCCTTGACTATAGCGAATTACCAATTTGGTCCCAAGTTAACGGTTGACTAACGGTCAAACAAACGGAAGATCAAATTGTTAAGATTTTTAAAGTTGAGGGACTTAATTGGTCAAAAAAAAATAGTCAAGGACTAAATTTGTAATTTCACTATAGTCAAGGGACCATTTTGGTAATTAACTCTGTATGTATGTATGAAACTTTAACAATTTAAGAGTAATTTTGTCTGATAAAAAAATAATAGTACACTATTTAGAAAGTAATACGTAGTATATAATGTTATCATTATAGAAATGTAGATAAAAATTAAGAATATCATAATGATCTAGGGGTGATCGCGGTTTCGATTCGGAACCGCTGGTTCCGGTTCCGCAAATGGACAAATCGGAACCGTCGATTCTAACCGAATTTATTTAAAAAAAATTTTAAAAATACTATAATTTTTAATTTTTTCCGGTTTGGAATCGGAACCGCCGGTTCCGTTCCTTTTCATCTTGAACCTTAACCGGAACCATATTGGTTCCGGTTAGGAACCGTACGAACGGTTCGATTCCGGTTCCAGTTCAATAGTGCATGGTTCGGTTCAAACCGAACCGTGGTCACCCCTATAATGATCTAAATCATTTCCAATAATAAAATGAAAAAGCATAATTAGAATATTGAATCTTTTTCCAAGTATTCAAAAGGAGATTTAAAAAAAAAAAAGGAAGGCATAACCTAGCTTTGTTAAAAAAAAGTTATTAAAATGATTTTAAAGTTTTCTTATTTGTAGTCTTTGATGCTCAACTTTGAATGCTATGTATGTTGTCTAGTTAATTAGTTGACAAAAGTTTACATTAAACTTTATATTGTTGATTGTTAAGTTTGGTAACTTCTGTTATTACATTATGGGAAAAATAGAAAAATAAAATAAAGATAAATGTAAAAGATTTTATAATTGTACAAGAGAGGAATCAAAATGTAAAACTCATTATTGCAAATAATTGCACTAGCACATTTTGTATTCCCGTTATACCCTTATTATATTTTATAAGACAAGATATGTATGTAAAATAATTGAATATATGTGGGTGAGAGTGAGATGAAAATTAAAACTGGTACAATTTTAAACAAATGAAAATGGAAAATGAGAATTATTATCTATTTACTAAAAAAAAAAACTAAATATTCGGAAAAAGGCAAAAAATGCTCTACTTAATTACAGTTAAAAAAAAAAAAAAACTAAACATGATTTTCACTATAAAAAAAAGAAATTGAGAAAAAAAAAAAAAAAAACAAAGTTGAAAGGTACAATAAGATGAAGCAGGTGATCTTTTCACCGCTTGGGCGAGTAGTACCCCCCTCATTTCTTCTTCTCCGGGCTCCGGATCCCTCAAAGCGCTCTCGCCAATTCCTCCCCCATTCCAAAAATTCAGTTAATGTAAAACACAGACACTGCTCAACTTTTTCCATACAGGTTTATCTTCTCTCTCTCTCTCTCTCTCTCTCTCTCTCTACACACTTGTATATGTGTTTATAGATTATATATCCGCTGTTTATAACGGAAATATTTGATTCGAAGTGCTTTTTCATTTGCCTTTAAGTTTTGCTTCTTATGAATTTCTTTGTTTTAATGAATTTTTGTTTGGTTACTACGTTTCCTAGATTGTGAGATTGGTGACTGGTGAGATTGTTATGGTTTAGGTTAGTGACTTTACTTCCTGGATTTTGGGAACTTTTTGTGCTAGATTTTAGTTTGTCATCTCTAATTTTTCATTCTTCTGTCGTGTTTTGGGCTGGAACTGGAACTTTCCTCTACGTAGTAGTGCAATGGCTTCTGTTTCTCTGTGGTAGATATTCCAAACATTTTTTTTGTTGGTTCTAATCTTTTCCCATTAATTGGTAATTTTGTGTTTTTCCTTTACACGTAGCTGAATCACTTAGTAAATCAATGCTAATGAATGAGTGCATTAACATTAGTAAATGAGGCTATGGAGTTACAGCAGTGGCTGTTGGGCTAAATGGAGTTGGGGTTGGAAAGGCAAAGAAAGAAGAGACTGAAATGATGTCATTTACACTGAATTTGACTTGAGTATAGTACATTATTTGTGTTTCAATATACCGTTTGGTTCTGTGTTCATACTATTGAGTATCTTTTATTGTTTTATAGTGTCAAAAAATATTTTTCAATGCTGCTTCTTCTTCTCAATATTACATTACATATGTATATAATAGAGTAAATTTTTACTCTTGGAGTCTTGGCAATTAAAATATTGTTTTTGCTACTTTTCTTGTCAAGTTTTGAACTGGAAATGTTCATATTGTATGAATTTTAACCTTTCTAGATAATAGTTGAAAGTTTTGATCTGTAATGACTGACTTCTTGAAGTAACTTATTTTCTAGGATTTCATATTTTTTAGCAAGTGGTGGAGTTTACTTGAAGGTTGAGATGAGCATAAAAATTGGGGAAGCATCTCACAATATGCAGAGCACTACAATGGCTCCAACAACAAGTGCTGCAAAGATCTCCATCTTTGCCAACAAATCTGGGTTTGTGATACCAAAGAACAAGTTGTCAGGTTCTATGGTTCCTGTCCTTCGAGGAGGTAAAAAGGAGGGTAGTGAGTCAGTAAATGAAGAAAGCACTAAACTGGTGCGGAGGAAAACTAAGTGGGGCCCTGATCTGACACAAGATACAACTGTTAGGAAAGGAAGAGCCTTAGCATATCAGGTATTTGGACAGTGCTATAATTTCTTAACAAATTTCATTCATTGCTTATATTATCTTTTCATTCTCTAACCGGGAAATATTGAGTTTCCTCTTGTTGGTTTGAGATTTTATATATTGGTAAACCACGTTGGTGCTTCATTTTGAACAATTATCTTTTTCTTCTAGCATTTGCCTTTTAACTTATTCGTATATTGCTTTGTCCATTCATGATATGTTATTAAAAATTCTGTTAGAAACAGTTAGGGCCGGGTTAGGAACTGGAGAACTTTCCATTTTTTTTTTTTTTTTTTTTTCTCCTTTTTTTCAACATCAACTATATTTCAAATTAGAAAATGAAAAATGGAAACATTGTTTACTTAATAAAGGAATTTGGTAAACAACTAAACACTTTCTCATGTTTTTCAAATTTTCCAAATACAAAAACATACATAACTTCACCTATCACTATTACCATTACCTACAAACTTTCATCTCATCAATCTGTCTACCCATACATTAACTTTCCTACTTACCCACCCACTATTACTTGCCTACTTTGCCCTACTACCACCTACCTATATACCCAATACCTCAGCCACCTACACCCCATCACCACCACGACTACATTCATTATCATTGTTGCTTATTTTACCCACCGCTATTTGTTCACCCTAACCCCTCTCTACCTATTCCATCATAACCTACTAATCCACACTACCACCACCACTCAATAATAATAATAATAATAATAATAATAATAATAATAATAATATTATTATTATTATTATTATTATTATTATTATTATTATTATTATTATTATCATCATCATCATCACTGTCATTTGTATTTTTGTATAAAGAAAAGAAAAACTTGAATCTCAAATAACTTTGTATTTTATAAATTAGAAAATAGTTGAATTTGAACATGTTTTCTAGTATTCCAATGGAAAATAAAATCTTTGAAAATTTTGGAAAATTAGAAAGCTATAACTAAAGAAGATAATATGTTTTAGAAATAGATTGGTGCTTTATAGCCCTGATTTTTGGGAAGAATATTTTTATTGCTCAGTGGCAATTGAAAAATTTCCTTTTCCCCATTGGGTGCTGAGATGTCAGTGTCTTTTGTGGGATTGGCTTGTAGCAACTATTCCATACCAGGTGCCAATAAATGATTTTGCTCCCTATGTGATGGTGCAAATTTTGAGCAGACTCGTGTTGATCAAATAGCACAACAGCTGAGTTCAGGACCTATGGACTGGGAAGAGAACCAAGACAGATTAACAGCCTCTAGTATTCTGGATTATAAACTTGATGCTGAGGTAACATAATGTTGAAAGATGTTAGTGTATTCAATTTTCACCTGGGTATGTCCTTAAAAAAATCATATATATGTGCTTGCAGAAAATAAAATCATTGGAACTTGAAAAGCGAGAAGCCATTGGTATGTTGAAAAATTCAAATCCCTGAATTACTCTTCATTTTAATTAATTTGTACTTATACATTTGCTATAATATCAGGTGAAGTTCTAAAACTAAATCCTAACTATAAGCCACCTGCTGGCTACAAACCTATCCAGAAAGAAGGAAAAGTTCCTATCCCTGTAAGTTCTGAACAAAACTTTTGATTTTAGCAGCTCTCTCTCTCTCTCTCTCTCTCTCTCTCTCTCTCTCTCTTCCACCAAAATAATGATTTGGTTTAACACATGCTATTTTCACCTGAGGGTGATTAATCTGTACCTTGCTGCCTAATTTTGAACATTGTTGATAATGAAATTAAGATTAAGGGTCATTGTAAAGAAGCTTACTAGTTACTACTACTCATTGCACTAAAAAAGTTAATTATTTAGTAACTAGCATGCCTATCTCTTAACATCTGGACATGTGATAAAGGTGATTAATCATTCATGGAGGCATTTCCACTATGATTCAATGCTGAAGGTAGTTTTTGAGGATTGTAAGATGGGAATAGAAGTATTATTAACAGTTTATAAATGACTGAAATATTAGAGTTGTTAATTTTCATTGTGCATATGAGTTGACTATCCCTGCAGAGGTTTTACTATTTATGGTGTAATATTTTTGGCACTCTCAAATCTAAGTATAGTGTATATGCCATGGCATTAATAACTAATATTTCTTTCCAAAACAGGGGAAGTGATAGTCCCTTATGAGGCCTTTCTGCTTGTTTCCCTGCAGATCAAAGAGCATCCTGGGTACAATTTCATTGGCTTGATCTTTGGACATGTGAGTGACACTCATAAACGACTGGAAAAGGTAAAGGGCTTCTCTTATTCTTTCCTTGAAGAGTTATAAGTTCTGATAGTAAGTATGAGTGACATTATAGTAAACCAAGACTGCTACCAACTATGCTGACCATTTTTAATTTTTTGGAAATCAGGAAACTGGAGCTAAAGTAAAAGTTTATGGTATTAAAGCAGATACAGGACAAAAGGTAATGCATCCTAGGCTGATATGGTTAACACTGCTCAAGGTTTCAAGTGATCTCCATATTTACCCCCAATTGCAAACTTTTCCATTTTAATTTGCTGCATGACTGCATCTTGAGTATTTCCCTTTACACATTATACCCAAATTTAGACATAGTAAACATGGAATGATAAAATACATATAATAGAGTTTAGCAGATGTAAGTTATTTTAGCCAACATAGTTTATCATGTTTTACTTACTTTGCTGTACCCCCTAACTAGTTGTAGTTTTGGAATGAGTGAGGTCTTATGTTAGTTTTGTGAAAGGGTTACAGACTTGCAGTTTTGTTTTGTTTTTGTTTGTTTGTTTTTTTAAATCTCCTATAATTTTCTTGCTAAGGAACATATGTTATGTGGTTGCTTCTGTGGGACCCTTCATGTCAGCAATTCTTAAGGCTAGGGCTATGTTTGTCAAAGCTAGCTGAAAGCTGAAAAACTAGAAACTAGAAGTTAAAAGTTGAGATATGTTAAGATAGCTGATTGTGGTTAGAAGTGTTTGGTAAAATTCTTTGTTGGATAAGTTGATAAATGTAAAAAGACAAAAATGGGTATCTATTATTATTATTATTGGTAAAAATTACCACATACTCTCAAGGCATGTAAAATCATATTATTTAGAATGAGAAAATAGAAAAATCATACAAAAGAACAAAAACGAAAAAGAACAATAAAAGAAATCCAAGCAACTAAGGTGAGATTAATGATTCCTCTGAAAATTAGAACCATTTGTGATTGGAAAAGGCATTGATACACTTGCCTCCATTTTGGCTTGGGTAGTTTAGCATTGAATCCTCGTGAACAGTAAGGCCACCTTTGAAAGTGCTTTAACTCACTTGATACACAATTCTAGGCTTCTAGCTATACTACCATGCTTGCATCACTCTGCCACCCAGATTATAACTATTTTATGTCACACCATTTTGCCACAAGTCACAACTTTTTGTCCACACAAATCTTTTTTCTTTTTTCTTTTTATCAACTCACATATTTACTATTTTAACTTCATTTAAATCCCTTACACTTTTATATCTACCTCCACGTCCCAGGTCGAAGTTACCTCTGCTGATGGAAATGAATCATGCAGTTCATACCAGGAGATGTATGTTCAAGTGTTGGCTGATACATATGAGAAGGTTGATGCTGCAGTGTCTTTAATTGAACTGCTGGTCAACCCAGTTTCAGTGAGTGTAATTGCTATGAACTTAATTGATATAGTTCATCCCTATAGGCTATAGTTTAGTTGTATCATTGCAATTAATAATGGGCCCTACTATGCTTTCAGGTAAAGGCAGGTTCTACATCAATGACTATTTCTAGTAATGGCATGGCTGCTACTGATAACCCAGGAGTGGTTCAACCAATTGCAGGGTCTGGGGTTGCTCCAGCACATGGCCATTTCCAACAATATCCATGGTTTCCTGGAAGTGCATCTCAGAATACAATTGCTACACTACCGGGATCAATGTCCTCTACGGATCCTCCAGCTGCTGTAGTTGGCAACCCAATCAGAGTATCTTCACTGCCAAACCCCTCAAGTACACCCTCACTATTTGGCTCACCAGGTATGGTAGCTGGGCTTGGTTCGGTTCCTCAAAATCCTTCACTTGTATCTTCAAGACCGAATACACCTCTAGTTTCTCAGCAGCCATACATGCCTCTCACTCCACTTGGACAAATTGGTGCTCCTAGAAATCCTCTGGTGACTGCTTCTGAATCTACAGCTTTTCATCAGAATATGGTAGTTCCACCTCAAATATCTGTTAACCAATCCATGGCAACAGGGACCTCACAAGTTTTCAGACCGCCTATCTCTAACCAATCACTGCCTTCTGCTGGGGGCCATACTGGATGGTCAGGATGGAACTCTCCAGTGGCTCAAGGTACAAACATGATGCCAATGACTCCACCGATTGCTGCCGCACAAGGAAGTCATCCATTGGTCTCAAATCCCATGGGTATTTCTGTTGCACCACCAGTAGGCTTTCCACGTGGTAATCCTTCTGGTTCTGCACCAGCTGGTATAGTTGTTAATCAGCAGCCAACCGCACAAGGAAGTCATCCATTGGTCTCAAATCAAATGCGGCACCCTCTTCCACAACATCCACCATCTGGTCATCCTAACTCAACACTTCCACCCCAACCTGTAATCCCAAACTCTGTAACTGGAAGGGCTTCGAACTTTGATGCCATGAATCCCCTTTCTATAGGTGCTCCAAGACCACAGCAATCTGGTTCCAGTGATTTTATATTCCAGCCTCACAGGCCAAATTCTGCCTCTCAAGTTATTCCAAGGCCGGTTAGTCGTTTTGATCCTCCGAATATTCCATTACAAAACCAATTAATTCAGCCAGGTCATGCACCTCAGACCCCATCTATTAGACCAGAAATGCGCAACTTGAACCCCTCACATGCATTGCCGAGTTTCCCTGAACTCCAAGTAAACAACAGAATGATTCAGCGGCAACCTGTACCAGTCAACTTTTCTGGAGGTCCTGCTGGCCCTCCACCTCCAATTAGGCCCATGCCATTTCCAAATTCAGGTAATCCATCTACAATTTCTTTTGCTCACATGCATCCAAGGAACTTCAATCCAGTGGCTCCACCGGTGAACTCTGGTAGTTATCCTCCTAGAACAGGAAACCTGATGTTTCACCAGAATAATCCAGCAATGATGACTCATCCACCAAACTTTCCAACTTCGAACAACGAATTTCGACCCAGTAAGCCAGCCCCTGGCCCTTTTGGAGTGCAGCAAACATATGATCCCTTTTCACCAACATCTCTCTCTTAAGCAGCTTCCCAGTGGTAGTGCAAAAGGCACAAAAAACTTGGAGTTATCTTGAGTGCATGAACTCAGTTGCCCAACCAAGTCAAGTGAGCTTTTCTAGCCAGTTCTAATTTGTTCAGATGCACTTGGGAACTAATAGGACTAAGCTGAAGAAGGCATGACACTGCTGTGTTGGTAATTCACAAATGTTTACAGTTCATGAACTGCTTCCTTAACATAGATAAGCAAGTAGGTTCTTTCTGCTCTAATAGTTGATTGTACTATTAATACTTTCTAGGGTTAGAAAACTTGCCCCCCCACCCTCCCTAACAAAGGGGGAAAAAAGGGTGAAAAAAGATTCCTTTAGTTTTGTTATTTGAATTTGAAGTAGGAGTACATTATACAGTCGAAATGGTTGAGCAAAAGTTTAATCAGCTGACCAAACTCCAAAGTGTTGTCAAGTTATCAATTTGTGATTGTTCAATGTGCTTTTCCTCTTATTAAGGCGGCTCATCAAGTTATGTTGTCTTTGAGATGGTCAACTCTATGATTTTTTGGAAAATCCTTTGTTCATGGTCTTAACTAGAAAGTAGATGTAGAAAATGAGAGTTGGTTCTTTTAATACTCCCTATGTTCTATTTTGTGTCTGATTCGGTTAACGAGGCTTGATTGAAGTTATTTTTAATCTAATTTTTCATAATATTATGTTTAGTATTAGTATACAAAATTTATATATTTAGAAACTACACTAAAAGTTGCCTGACAAATTTTTTTTTTATTTTTTTATTTTTTATTTTTTGCTCTATTTTTCTTTTCTCCTTGTTGGCAAAATAAATAAATAAATAAGAATTCTATTAAAAAAAATCAATAAATGTGATTGCCCTTATAAACCTCAATCCAAATAAACATTTATTTAAAAATCCAATTTTGTTAAATAACTACTGAAAAAATGCAGTTTGAGTGGAGTGATAGACTATCAATATTATTGTGCAGAGTAGCAAATACTATACATATATAGCAGTTCCTCGCTCTGATCAAGCTAAGCTATCCTCATCTTCAAAGATTCAAGTGGTGTTTTAGACTGTTGAAGTTGTTACTCTAATTGCATGTCTTTCAGAGAGTAATAAGCTAGCTCTGAGACTGTTTTGTCTTTACGCGTACTCTCATAGACCAGCTGCAGATATATTTCGAGAAGGCCAGAAGCTAAGGGGTTAGAATCTCACTTCACTTGTTCATGGAAAGATGAATTGATTGATAGTTTAAAAGAGAAATTGCAACCAATGAAAGTGCCAAAATATTAAGTTCATCTCTTTCAGCCATCATCTGCAACAAATATAATGTTGATTCTCATTCTGCATGTCTTCATAAGCATGACCAGTAGTCTGCAAGTAGGTAGTTTACCAAAAAAATTAAAGAAATTCAAGTTCAAGAGTCATTTGGGACAACAATTTTTAAGGCATCATATCAGAAACAAAGCAAGTCTCCATTTTATGTAACCACAATTCTTAGTTGTTGATGGAGGTAAGGGAACCAGTGATATAAAATGGACAATACAAGCGAAATGGTAAGAGATCATATTATAAGATCCTGAGCAAATTACAATTCAATATTTCATTGGACTGCTATCAGAATATTCAGAAAATACTGTATGTACAATACAATCCAAAAATTAACAAACACTAACTAGCATTCAACAAACTCTCGAAATCTCTCATTATTTGGCATGCATCGTTGAATTCAACCGTTTTTTTCATCTTTTCTAATGCTATTCCGGCAGCTTCTCTCTTGATTTTGAGTTCGGCCTCTGCCCTAATCCGTAAAAGTGTTTGGGCAGCTTTGACTTCTTCTTCAATCCTCGCTTTCTCTCTTTCTTCTTGTTGCTTCATATGGTCAGCAATATCTCCCTGAGTTGCTTTGAAAATGAGATGTGCATAACGTTTCTTCATCATCGCAGCACGTAGAGCCTTAGTTGGAGAAAGTTGATGAGCATCAACAGTAAGTGAAAGTGAAGTAGTAGTAGTAGTGCAAGCATGATCAATGGCGGTACAATTTTCCTTTTTCTTTTCTCTGTGAATCATCTTCTTCTTCGGCAGCGCCCTCTCGCAATCTTCCCTAATACCCATTCTCCGCCGCCTCTTAACTTCTGCTACTTTGAAGTCATCGTCATCGCAACCTGGACGCTTCTTCTTGGATTCAGCGATGATCATCTTCTTCAAACCCTTTTCCCCATTATTATCTCCTTCCCTTTCCCTTTTGTTGAATGATGAAATTCTGATCGGTAGCCCTCGATCAGCAGCTAGAGTCGTCATTATATTGATGGCGTAAAATTAAAACAAAACTCTGATAGATGGAGAGATGGATGAGATATGAGCGAGCGATTATATATGGAAATCTATCGAAAGTACGTATGTAGCTAGTGAGAGCGCAGACAACTGAGATTAAGAATCTTTAAATAGATACAACAGAATGCCTTTTTATTTAACGTTTGATTCTTGAATCTTGATTATGTCATCATCCTATCCTATCCTATCCTTCAAAATAATTAATATTACTTCTCTCCCAAGTAAGTTTAGTTTTTTTTTTTTTTTTTTTTTTTTTTTGAAATAAGAAAATGGTAATTTTAGTTATAAATATATTGTAAACTTAGTCATTAAATTATTATCATATACAAAATTTTTATTTTTATTTTTTGAATACACAAATTTTTTAATTTAATTATGTGTAAAATGATACTTTTAATCTACCACTAACAAATTCTATTAAAAATAATGTTGTACATTGAATTTTCAAATTAATGAATGACATTTGTCATTGTATAGAGTTTTCTTAAATTTTCCCAACTAAACTTTTATATATACCGATTCTCTTTATTCGTAATATATGAAAAAAAATGTTAGTTTTCTGATCAAAATATCATCATAGTATTATTGTGTCATGACCATTTTTGGTCTTTTGTCAACAAAATCATTGAAATATCCTTAAATACAAAAATATTTTGATTTTTTTTATAGACAAAGTAGTTTGGCCGGCTATATTTCTTATATTTATTTTCTGAAAAAAAAGTCATAATTGAAGACTAAAATGTCATTGTATTTAACAAAATTTAAATTGTTTTGATGATAGAGGATCGAAAATAGTTATGCCACAATAATACTAGGACCAAAAGAGTTTCTTCTAAAAAAAAAAGGACTAATGGTAGAGTGCCACATATAAATCTAAGACTAAAAATAAAAATAACTCTTAATATTAATAGAATTTGTTAATAGTAGATTAATAATTCATGGTTTGAGTCTATAATATATATGAATATAATTAATTAATGGGTCAAATTAAAATTAAACTATCATTTTTTTCAATTAAAAAACTCATTTATTAAATATTAAATTTATTAAATAAAAATAAAAATGTAAAGTTAGTTTATAAAGTCAGTTTATATGTAAAAATTGATTTGATCCTTCAACTTTTAAATTTCAATCAGTCATGGTCCTTCTGAAAGGACCACGACTGGTTAAAATTTAATAATTGAAGGACCATAGGTGATTAACTTTAAAGTTGAAGGATCGCAGATGGTAACAATTTGAAAGTCGAAGGACCACAGGTGATCAATTTGATAGTAATTTAGAACTAAACGTGACAAAACCACTATACTCGGAGAACACATATAACATTAAGGTAAAACAAATTCAACAAATCAACAGAAGCACTGAAAATTCAAACTGTCTTCAACTTAACCATCTGTTCACAGACAAAGATGATGTACATAAATCATCCTACAAGCTACAACCCATCTCCTCTAAACCCTATCAGGATTTCTATTTTTTTTTTGTTTTTGTTTTTTCCAACCTTTTTTTTTTTTACTGGGGACAAACTTAAAGAAAGGAAAGGGAAGAAATAGAGAGTTGTTGCTACTCTACATTCAATGGAATCACCACCCCCCTCTCAAATACGCCGAAACCAAAACAGTAACCTGTTATCCTTTTCACAACTGTACAAGTTCAGTTCAGCCTGCAATGGTTCAAATTTTCACGAACCGAACATCATTCTGCCCAAATGCAGTTCCACAGCCAGGGCATTTGCGGTGGCGGAGCTCTAGGTTTCTCTGTATGCATGGATTGCAAAACAGATGATAACATTTGGCAATCACCACCTGCAAAAATGAAAACATTATACTATACACATTGGCTCAGAATTCAAGATATTTCGTGCACTGAAAGCATCAAATAAAGTTTGGTTTCAACCAAATAAGCTCGGAACCAAATCTAAGAATTATTGGATGAATAGAGTATTTAATGAATGATCCGTGCTTTATCTTTAGTATTCACAAGATGATATTGCGCTATAGATGTAAAGCTCAACAAAACTGAGAATTTCGGGCAAAAGATGAATCAATATAGTAATACTTAAATTACGGTATTATATAGAAATATATGAAAGATCTGCAAACTCATATATATAGATGCCATAACTAGTCTTTTCCTCAAAAGGAATTCAGTACTATGAGATATCTGAACGCAAACCTATACACTTTAGATTTGAATGTTATTCCAAGGATGCAATGAAGAATTACGCAAGAAATAAATGAACAAATGTCAATACCTCCTTTGGTCGATCACAACAGACACCACATTTGAGGATAGCTTTGCAGTCATTGATTTCATCTTCGAGTCTCTGTATTGCAGCGTCCCCACTCTCAGAAGTCAACTCAGTTACAGTTCTATTCAAATCTGTTAGCTCTTCATCAAGCTTCGCCTTCTCACTTCTGTTTGAACAAATAATGAAATAAGTCAAATATAGACCTCTAAATAAGAAACTCAAAATATCACGAGATTGAAGATCAAAGTCCTACAAGATTATAATGAGAGAAACCCAGGAAAACCCCACAGATCCAAAGACACGATGAAGATAAAATAAAACGTACTTTAGAAAAAGAAAAAGAAAAAAAAAAAGTATAACCTTTCAGTGTCAAGTTCAGTCTGTATTTGATCTATCTTTCGCTGGATCTGATCATATTCCTTCTGAGAGGAAGAAACAGAAGATTTCAGCCACTTCAATTCCTTCTCGGCATCCATCAATTCCCATTTCACACTTTCCAGGGAGACTGCAAGCTCTCTGTCTTCTGGAGTAGAACTTAAAGCCTCCATAATATAACCTTTCATCTGCATGGTCACATATTAGTTGAAGAAAAGTTTTTATAGCAGAAATAAACTATTATGTGCAGAATAGCAAATACATACCAGTTCCTCGCTCTGAGCTATCCTCATCTTCAAAGATTCAAGTGACGTTTTAGACTGTTGAAGTTGTTTCTCTAATGCATGTCTTTCCGAGAGTAATAAGCTCTGAGACTGTTTTGTCTTTACACTCTCAGAGACCAGCTGCAGATATATTTCGAGAAGGCCAGAAGGGGTTAGCAACTCTAAAGCTATCATCTTACTTCACTTCTTCATGGAAAGATGAATTGATAGTTTAAAAGATAAATTGCAACCAATGAATGGGCCAAAACACAGACCTTGATATTAAGTTCATCTCTTTCAGCCATCATCTGCAACAGATGTTGATTCTGATTCTGCATGTCTTCATAAGCTTGACCAATAGTCTGCAAATAGGTAGATTAGCCAAAAATAAATAAAAAAGCGGGGAAAATCACAAATAAAATAACCACACATCTGTGGTGTAATAAGAAAATGTCAGAATTTTTTTTAATGATAAGTAAACTTTAAACATAGATTTTCACCTCAATCTCAGAAATGTATGTTTCCGACTCTGCTTCTTTAATTTTCAAGGCCTCTCTGAGCTCAAAGACATCCCTGTAAGAGATAAAAGCAATGTACAAGAATGACTATGCATAACTGAACAGCAGACATTTGTTTACAGGAGATTGGCATGTGTAACAGATATTAGCGAAGCAAACAAACAGGTCAATGTGTCAGTACAGAAAACAAGCATGATTTATTGCCTTTCAGATTTTGCACTCATCCTTCTGTAGGTTAGTAGGTAAAAACTCAATAGTATGCTGACACTGATCTGCAATTAATCATGGTTCAGAAAACTCTATATGAGTGAAGATTTGAGAAAAAAAAAAAAAAAAAAAAAAAAAAAAAAAAAAACCTATATCACCACATCTTCCAGTCGGGGGTATTTTATTGTCATTGAATCTCCTACACCCTTTGTTTTGATTAGCCATTCAGATGTTGTCTTGCTTAGGACTGACTTTAATTATAACTTTATTTGACCAGATAGCATGTAATTCTCAACATAAGTATTGAAACAACAAGACTGACTTTCTAGGATACAGGTTCAATATGCCACTTTATTCATTCATCTATTTCATATTCTGCTGACGTAGATGTCAAGAGCCAAGGAAAATAAATTTGGCTACACCATCACAAATGCAAATCAACATGGATGTGCAAACATGGAAACAATGGTGGAAAAGTTAAAAATGATATGGTCTGAAAACTAGGTTTAAATGCTTGAATTAAAAATAATAATAATAATAATAAGTATTCAGTAAATGAACCTGTCTGAAGCTTCCAATTCAGCCCTTAATTGAGCAAGTTCTGCTTCCGCAGCAGAAAGCCTCGGCTGGCAAGCTGCCTCAGCTTCATTGGCAGCTTTGATTCTCAATTCAAGGCCATGTTCATCAAGAGCATTTCTCAAAAATTCAGCTTGTGAGCGAGCTCTTCGTTCTGATTCTTGAATTTCCATTATATTTCTAGCATAAGTTAAAACTTTTAGAGTCACTATAGAATATCACATCACATTAACATATTACTTGATTAAAAGTATGACAGTTAATAAATGTACTTTGTCCATCTCATTCGGAAAAACTTTTTTAAACAATCATTTCTGTATTAGAAGCATTTTCCCCATATCACTTGCTCAAGAATATTATCCTTAACATAGACTAAGTATGCTCAGTTGAACCTACCTATTATCATAGATTTGCTGGCTATACATGTCCAGGATTATTTTCCGCTCTCCTTGTTCCTGCTGCATTTGCTCAACCTGCCATATCATAGAATGAAATATTGAGAAGTGCACAACTTATTACGGTAGTAATAGGCGAGCGTAGTAAAACTTACATGCATCTTTAATGATTTAATTGCTGCAGAATTTCGACCACATTTGTCAGCCAAGTCCTTTTGCTCAATAGTCTGCCAAAAACAAGTCTGTAAATATCATGATAACAAAAGCCACTCACCAGCAAAAAGAAAACTAATCAAGTTCCCCTTCCCAATCCCATCATCCCTGCAAAAAGAAAAATAATCAAATTGCACAAGAATCTCACACTCAGCAATGACTTATATTCCCACAGAAGAAACCTGTTGTTACATGCACTTCCTTGAAGAAACTAATACTAGTTCCCTTCTCCCAGATAGAGAGAGAGAGAGAGTCTGTGTGTGTTTGCTCCAAAGAAATTCAAGTTCAAGAGTCATTTGGGACAACAAATTTTAAGGCATTAGAAACAAAGTAACTCTCCATTTTATGTAACCACAATTCTTAGTTCTTGATGGAGGTAAGGGAATCAGTGATATAAAATGGCAATACAAGCGAAATCGTTGGATTGGGAGATCAAAAGGAAAGGTTTTCTGTCAGATCATATTATAAGATCCTGAGCAAATTACAGTTCAATATTTCATTGGATGGCTATCAGAAAGACCTAAGCTCCCATAAGATTCTTGTTCTTCAGACAGTGGACAGTTTCTCATGATATGATCAACACAGGAAAGAATGCAAAGTGGGAAACTACTTGCAGATAGGTAATGCATATGCAAAATGATAGAATAATCAGTCAGTGATTCCTTTCTGCACTGCAAAGTAGCTCTTGGTGATTTTTGGAATGCCCAGGGTGATGTAGAAGTCAAAAGAAGATATATTTTGGGAAGAAACAACTAATCAAGCAACCACTGGCTTCAAGCGCAGGTGGTTGAGATATCATGTCACACATCAAAACTTAAATGACACCAAGAACAAACCTTTCTGTCCAGTGAAGTTTTGAGCGACTGTGCTTCTTCACGCAACGAAAGGGACTCTTGAGCTGCATCCTTCCACCGATTCAACTGAGCTCTCATCATTCCTTTTTCCTTTGACAAAGCAGAAGCCATTACCTGAAACTCAGCTTTAATGTCTTTTCGTCCTGCAAAAATGAACCTTCTATCAGAGATCTTTTTTCCAACATCAGTGTGAAACATTCAAAATTAAATCAACCTGAATCTTGAATGGCTTCTTCCATTTTGACTGCTAGTTCATTGTTTTCAATAATGTATCTCTCAAGCTGATGTTCCAGTTCTTCAATCTTTGATTCTGAATCACTTATAATCTTCCGTGCAGCATCCACAGACTCTGCTTTCACTGTCAATTCCTTGTCCTTCCGTGCGATGAGAGACCTGTCAACCTGAATCAAACTTTAAGCCATGGCTGCAAGCTTGAAATACAAACTAAACCCCGATGATTTTATTTTTTTATTTAATTTTTTTTTGGGGGTGGGGGGGGGGGGGGGGGTGGGGTCCTTCAATGAACTAAATCTTCAACTAAACCTCAAACACTTCCATGGAAAGTTAAGTGGCTTAACCTGAGGATGCTCCACTTGCTCTTTGTACCGTTCCATCTGAGCAGTCCAGTGATGAAGTTGGTCATTCAATATAGTATAAGCACGAGTTGAATATACAAATTTATCATCCTTCAGTTCAGCCTGTAAAAAGAGAGCATCACTTTTTAGCTTCAGCAGTTAGCACTTGTTTGATTATATACCAAAATGCTAGTAATGATAATGATTAGAGGTGGTCCAGGGACAAGTATATCATTCAATATAGTATAAGCACAAGTTGAATGCACAAAATTTTCATCCTTCAGTTCAGTCTGTAAAATCACTCTTTTGCTCCAGTGCTTGTTTGATTATACTCTAATGCTAGAAATGATACTCGTCAGAGGTGACAAATAAGCAGGTTGGTTGGGTAAATAAAATTTGGACTCCTAAAATTGGTATCCGCCTGGGTAAAAACTAAAAAGTCACCATAGGTTGTTTTCCTTTTTAAAACTTTTTTCCTAATACTGGAAAAATAAAATTACTTCATAAAACTCGATTTAAACATAAGAATATTGGTAAATTGGATAAGCAACCCAAAATTTGGGTATATATTGCCACCTTTTAATAATGATAAAATGAAAATTCAAACTTCAAATACCGAATCAAAAAGTTCTGATTAGAGACCTTAAGATCGTGCAACTGCTTTTGCAGGACAGAATTGTCATCTCTAGCATCTTGAAGTTCAATTAGGCGGTCCTCTGCCAACACCTATAACATATGAAACAAATCATATTTAAAGAAAGACTCACACAGGCAAAGACACAGAAGCAAGCAATAAAGCCAATGACACAACACCTTTGTCTCCTCAATAGAATCCTTCAGTTCCTGAACATCCATTGTCCTCTCTGTATATTCTGGTGACACACTCCAATTTACTGAACCCAAAACTGGTTGCTCTCGTACTGATGCTGCATCTTTCTGCATTTTCAAATTAACAAGCTTTCTTCTACTTTCTTCAAGTTCTGCCATGCTTTCTTCTAGCTCAACTTTAGTTATGCAAAAAGTAAAGGATGAAAGCCCAACCATTAAGTACCAGTTGGAGAACCAGAAGACATGAAGCCTAATATTTTCATTCCAAATCAATTAACTTCAAAATTTTCAATTCATTTTTGTAACTAAAATTATTTAACAAATAGGGTTGTCTATAATAGTCTCTCCGTGCATAGTGCAAGCCTGTCACATGATCTTCATTGCTCAGAAATTGAACTACTAAAATTAATTCCGCTTCTGTAACTAAAATATTTAGAATAGATTTTAGTGCAAGTGCATTAAATATGCTTGGAGAACCATTAATGTATGAATTGGAGGAAAGTATTCCACATACCCTCAAGGCGCTTTAACTCCGTTTGATCTGTTGTGTCTTGCGCATAAATCTCAATTACATTAGCATATTCTTTATGCTTTTGATGAAGAATATCAATTGCATCATGCAGTACACTAGCCTCATCTTTCAACAAATCATCAATCTTGCTTGATAGAGCAATAGCATCTGAAGCATTCAAAGTTTAATAACAACAACAACAATTAATTATTAATTTATGTTCCTACCCAGACCACTAGTGTCTAGTGCTACAGATAATAACATAGATATCCAACTCAATCCGTGATTTTTAATCCCAAGCATACAGTAACATTCTCGTCATTCTATATGTTCACATTGCTGTTTTTTATTTTATTTTTCAGTGGTTGATTTGGGGGGAGGGGGGAGAGGAAAGGTTGAACACTCATCTCAGTCTCTCCAGAGTCCTCACCTTCTGCAGATGGTATTACATCCGAAGAATTAGCAACCTCCTCCAGTTTAGAGCTCTGAGCATCAAAAGCATCTTTCAAGGATGTCATGAGCTCCCGTGTGTAGGAACACCTGATATCAAGAGCTTCTTTGACATCTGTAATTGATACACCACTTCCACTGCTCTGAATAGAATCCTTATTCAATATTCTACACAGAAACATCTCTTCTGCAAGACATGATGGAATTGAACCTAAATGGGGAAATGCAAGAGAGTGAGAGATGCATATGCACAGTCTAACATTGTATAAAAACTTTAGGGCATGTCAAATTTTAAGGGTAGCATAAGAACTTCATAGCACTTATACAACTAATCCATATAGAACCTCGAGAATGATCGGCATGACTCAAACTTTGTAAAGCTCTTGGATCTGTCCCAACTTTTGCTCCAAGAAGTATCATATTATCATCTACCTACAAGAGGTTATTAAAAGAATATATTATATATGAGAGGTTACAAGAACAGAAAAACATGAGGTCCAGGAGGAGAAAAACAAAAGCATTCAGAGAAAATACCTTATTCCAAAGTTGGTTTATTGAAATCAATATACCATCATAAGCTGCTTGTTTAACTTGTAATTCTTTCATTTTTTCTTCAAGGTCATGCAGTTCTTGTTTCTGTACATCTAATTGCCGGACAAGTTTCTGATTCTCATACTGAAGAACAGCAGCATCAACCTGCCAAAGAAAGAAATTAACACCCTTGCCTTGCAAAATAGTCTCAACTTGCAAGGGTCCACAAAACTTTTGTACAGTATTCTTAAACATTTAGAAATACATTCTCCACGTAGGTTTACTAAAAGATCTTTTCTTGAGCTTAGACCACATTAGGTAGTGCAAAATATAAAAATAAAGAAGAGGAAAAGTGTTGACAGGGAAATATATATTATTTCCTACGGTAGAAGTTTTTGCTTTTCACAAGCACAGGATTTGCTCCTTTTTCTTTTCCAGTTCATTTCCTACACCCTGCCTTCACAACATCTGTGAGGCATTAGTAACAACTAAGGATAAGTGCACCCATATATGCTGGCACATATAGACACCTAAAAGCCTATGGCATTTCATTATAATGTGAAAATAATTAATGAATAGACACATGATAAGATCTAGACAAGGATTATACCATGTTAGACAAAATAGAAAGAACAACAGTATCTAAAAGCTATAACTTTTAGTATTAGAGGAGATGCCTGTGCAAATTACCAAATTTAAAACTCCCTTTCCCAATTGGCCTAAATCTAACATGTGCTCAAGATTATATATTCCATAATGCACAACATTGGGCTTAAATTCGGTAATGATAAATTCTAGCATTTCAAAGCTCAGTTTGTTGTAATAGAAAAACCCATGCAAAGCATTCTATAGAAAAATCAAATCTTGAAATGTTGTAAAACCTTATGACTCAGATTAGATATTTCCAAACTCCAACTTTGCACTCAAAAGAATCCTACTTTATTTAATTGACTTTTTTTTGGCACAAAAATTTTACGTATCACATAAAAGATCCAATCTTTCGATTTGTATTAAATAAATAAATCATGCAAATAACAAACCTGAATTTAATTTTAAAACTTATGTCACACATTCCAAAATCATCTTTCAATTAACTAAAGATTCTTTTACATGAAAAGACCCAAAACGGACTCACCAAACATGGTTAAATTTTGAGCCTTTTGTTAAACCCTTAAAGGCTAAGCAAATTAATGCAATTAAGAATCAGAGCTGATTACAATAATTCACTCACTCTCTCTCAAACACAGTAACGAGCATATATGCATGCACATATTACCTAAATCTAAACTCCCTTTCTCAAATATAGCTAACCCATGCAGTGCAACGACACAAGCCTAAACCGAAAACATGCCAAAGACTATCTTGTGCCTTGCACAATCAGACTAAAACAGAACAATAGCTTAGGAACTAATAAACTATTAAAGTCAAGGAATTTATACTTGGAAAAAGAACACCTTTTACATTTCACAAGACCTTAAGTTTATTACAATTTGTAGCCCTAATTTTATGAATCGGCATTTAATGTGCTTCGCAAATCTAACTTTGCACTCAGCAAAATCCTATGATAACAGCATGTTATATAATAAACCAAACTTTATGCTTCAACCCTAATTCACACAATTCATAGCAAAAGCATAGACTTCAAAAAAATTGTTTGTTTTACATATCACAGAAAAATTCCAATCTAAATAAATATATCAAGCAAATAACTATCCTGAGTTCAACTTCACAACCAATTCACTCATTCTAGATCCATTATCCAATTACCTTCAGCTTCCTCCATAAGAGAAAACTCAAATTAGAATTAACAAAGAAGGGAATAGGGATAAGCTTTTAACTTAACCCGTTCTCCACCCTTATATGAAACTCAAATTGAAAATCCAATTCAGTAAACAATAAAAGCTCAACACAATAATTCACTCATTATCTCCCAAACAAACCATAGAAGAACACAGAGAGAGAGTGACGGTTACCGGTTTGTTATCAGAAGAAGAGAGGGTGTGACGAGGCATGGGAGAAGAGACGAGGGGATTGAGGTGAGGACGCTTCTTGTTAGGCTCTCCAGAGGCAGTAGAATTCTCCATTTATACGAGAAAAGATGTACTGAACTCGATCACTTCAATCCAAATTCAGTTCAATTCATATTAGCCACCGAACTCACTCTTCAACCGACCACCGACCACCGACCACCGCCTACGGCCTTTTCAGGAAGCAGAGAAAAGCTACAGAACAGAAATCCCTGGCGGTTTACGGTGGCCTGGTGAGACTTGCCGGTTTAATTTTTCTTTTGGTTTGTTCTTTTCTGATGAAAAAAGTGTGTCTATATATATATACACATCTCTTGAGCTAAAATGTGTAAAAAAATCTTAAGATATTGAATATTGATCATCTATATTTATGGTATTTTAATTTTTTTTTCTATTTTTGCATTTTGGTGTCATAATAATTATTTAATTGGTAACTACAAATTAAAGGATTTATTATTTTTCTAAACTTGAAAAAAATTTGATCTTATATGATTTCTTTTTTTACACATTTTAGCTCAAAATAATAAATGCGTACAATATAGCTAAAGCAATGCTACATTTCTTTTCAAATTTTACCTTCAAGTATTAATATTTTTACTTAAGAGTACTTATTTGATTCATTTTGTATTTGATTAATAAGTAGATTTTATATATATTTTTAACATGGGGTGATGTCAGTTCATTCATAAATAGCCTCGGAACTCACTCTTCAACCAACCCACCACCTACGACTTTGTTAGGAAGCAAAGAAAAGCTATTGAAATCTCGTTGATTTGTTATAAAAAAAAAATGTGGGTAATACATACACATCTCTTCAGCTAAAATGTGTTAAAAAAATCTTAAGATATTGATCATCTATTTATGGTATTTCAATATTTTTTTTTTATTTTTTTATTGTTTGTATTTTGGTGTCATAATAATTGTTTAATTGAAAACTGCAAATTAAAGGATTTATTATTTTTCTAAACTTGAAAAAGAAATGATCGTATATGATTTTTTTTTTTTTTTACACATTTATGCTCAAAAAAATGAATGCATCCAATATAGCTAAAGCAATGCTAATTTTTTTTTCCAAAATTTACCTTCAAGTGCTAATGTTTTTAACTAGCCGTATTTATTTGATTCATTTTGCATTTGATTAATAAGTAGATATATTTTTAACATTGGATGGTGTCAATTCATTCACAAGTAGCCAATAGATAAAGAACTTTATTGACATGTTAAAAAGTAATTAAAATCAATAGAGGAAAAAATGAAAATTTTCACTAATATACACATTATGACATTAATAAGTTGAATTTTTTTTTTTTTGCATTTCGATGTCATAATAATTACTATTTAGTAACGTTCCTTTCAACAAAAAAAAAAAAAAATTGTTTAGTAACGGCTAATTAATGAATTTAATATATTATATTTCTTAAATTGAAAATATGGAAATGATCTTATATTAAATGTTTATTCATTTTAACTCAAAATAATGAATACTTTATAGCTAATATAGAATTTAATGGATACATTTAATTA